CTCATTGATGCGAGGCCAGAAGGACAATCAGCGGCCAGTTATGTGAACCCACGTAACAGGGACACTAACGAGTGCAAACCAGCAGCTTTACAGTGTAATCAGTGAGCCGATTATGGGCACTCAGCGTATATTATTCACTTTAAACAACCTGACGCGCTAACATCTATCATGGTTTGCTAAAAGCCGCGGCTTGGAAGGCTACCAGTTGATTAAATAGCTCAATCCTTCTGTCAGAGCGAAGAGTAAACTTGAAGTGGTTCATTTGAATGTGTTATTTATGATACTCCCACTCCGCCAGGATCCGAACCGCTCCTTTTTGTACGGAATCCTGTTCGTGTGTATGCAGATATGGGAGTTTGGCGGAATGAGTAGGCGTAAGTGTACGCTGCAGCAACTACCTGCGTCTAATCGCGTCTCCGGACTTCCTGACTCTATATTGATATAAAGCCCAAGTAAGGGAGGAAAAGAGAGAGTATTAAGCTACTTTTATTATACACTGGAGCCTCAGGCAACGAGCGAGCAAACCGCAAAAAAATTTTTCGACCGACGAGTTTTCGCTCAGTTGACAAGTTGTCAGTGCGTGCGTGAGCCTGTGTCCGCCGTTGAGTTTCGATCCTAGGGTGTGGGTCCTCGGTCGCCTGCAGCTAAGCAGTGAACAAATGCAGTATGCTTGGCTACTTCTTGCACTAAGGGCGTTTCACGTGACGTGCTCGGTGCCGAAACGCTTTAAGAGAAGTTCTACTGTACAGTAATGAACGCGCAAGTCACCATTCTTGCGTCAAAACTGCTCTGGGTCACACGGTGAACAACACTGAAAACAATGGTCATACTGTCGTATATTGAGTGTGGTTTCTCTTAAACGGCCACACACGGGGGCTAGATCAAGGTACGGCAGGCGTTATTTGGGATACGCACCCATAAGAAATACCACACTAGTGGGGGTGTTATGACAAGCCACCTGTGCCTGCCCCAGTCTCTAGCACTGCTCTCATAAAAACCTGACCGAGGTGACTGATGGAGGAGGGAGTACGGCAGATGCTGTGCAAGTATTCTATCGTTATATAATAATTTCGTTTCGCGCAAGTCGCTAGTGGTGCATATAGTCCATGGGACAGATGATGGGCGTCATTGAATGCTATGGTTGAGGTACAAAGATTCCAGTGAGAAAATTACGTAGGCGGCTGCACCCTTCCAGTATGGCTCTTGCTATCATTCAATTTTGCGGACTGCCTTCTCTGTAGCACTAATCAAGTACTCTGTGAAGTCTACCCAGGTCATGCTTTGCAGTGCCACTACTAAAGCATACAAAAGTCATTTGTGTGACAGTCTACCGTAGAAACAAGGGAATTGCTAATTCTGGCAAATACATGGGATAGCAACATAGTCATTTATAGATTATTTGCTATTAGCAGCCAGCCATACAACAATCTGAGGAAGGAAACTGGGATTCAAGACTGGTTTAAGTCTGCTGTTGTGTTTATTGAGATATCCGCCGATGTCTGGGTTCACAGTCTGCTAACTGCGATCAGACGTCTTCGAAAGTAGTCATCTTTGACGAACAGCGAGCTGGCATCATTAGAAGATAAAACCAATCGTTCAATTTCCCCTGTAATGGTTTCGCAGCGACGGACAGTTGACACTGTAGACCTTATACAAGCAAGACTTTATTCCTGACGGACTAACCCATGGGGACTCTCATCATTAATGGTCTTCCCAAGGTATTGCCAGAAAGGTCTGACTCAGAAATGAACGCGGCCACAGAGGAGAGTTTTTATCTTCCTTGATTCGATCCTTCCTTTCAAATCATATTGGATTGTTCAAAAGCGCTTTGCAGAGTTCATTCCGAGACCAGTTAAATGTTTGGGAAAGTGCCAAAATCATCAATAAATGTCACTAAAAGAATACTAAATTTCTAAGACTCATTCGCTCGAGTTTTCTCCAGTAAACTGATGTATGCTGCTATTTTATACTTATCGAATAAAAAGTCGTGAAGAGTACGCTCCAATTAACAAAAATGCAATTTATACCAATTCTGCAATAATTTTAGAGGAAAACTACTGGACTGGACGTTATTTATGAAACTTTACGTGAACTCCTTAAATAGAAAATACCAAACGTCTTCCAGAATCTCTTCAACATACATGATACACTCTTTAGATGCTTCCATACAATAACCTAACAGTAATTTCAGCCGGGTGTCCATTAAGTAGAGTTTCGTAAGTTGAAACTTATTTTATGATGGCCACGTTGATCTTATTTTAAATAATTAGCTGATCCTTTACTATGATAAAAAATGTTAACCACGCTTTACTACATTTAGGATATCCCGATGTTAGTCGTTTCTGAACGTCAGCCTGTTTATATAAAAAACAGTTCACATTTTAAGCTCAGCTACCGCTGTTTATTTGGAGATCCAAAAATCCAAAAAAGTTGAAATGATTGGTCCCAAATATGGCAATACGTGTCCATAGTGGTATTAACCTGGTGGTGAGGGTCTATAGAATCCGGGAGATTAATGAGGTTTTATACAGGCCGGGCAAAACTTTGTTTGTTTGCGGCAACAGACTGTGCGTTTAACGATGGTCTTTGGTTGTGGTGGTTTGTTGATGAAGGATAATGTGGTTACCTGATGGAATAGGCCCTGGGTTCCGTCGGGAGCAATGAGTGGAAGAACCGAAGCAGCTGGAAGTCCGATTCTTGCCAGAGTACCCGGAAAGACGGAAGAAGGCTGTGTTGCGCCGACTGCCAAGGGTTGTGCTAATGGACCGGTGTTCGCATTCGCCGCTCCCAAAATGTTGATTAGGTCTGATAATGGGAGACTCTCTAAGTACCCCATTGGAGTAACACCCCCCGCACCGACGGCAGGAATCTGCATTCTGGTTTGCCCAGAAAGGAAAGAAGTTCCAGTGCCCAAAGAGTTTACTGGTAAGGTATTGCTCAAGATCGGATTTTGAGTGAGTGTGTTTGAAAGAAAAGGAAGTGCAATCCGACCGGCCAAGTTCTGAGGTGATTGATACGAAGGGATAGCAAGATTAATAATTATATTCGGACCTCTTTCCGTTGTTGGATAATAGCTCATAGGTTGGGAATATGCAGCCATCTGAAGTTGAAGCCATGTAAATGCAAATATCCAAAGCATCCGAAGTCGAGTCATTTTGCTGCGCCCGGCTGCCAAAAAAGTCCGTCACTCTTCGATTCGTCCGTCAAAATGACATCCAAACTGATGTGTGGTCGAGATATGTTCACCCGAAGCTCTACTAACACAACCAATCGATTTTGGTGTGGGCAGGCGCTTTAGATTAATGATCATATAACCTCTACTCACACAGGTCTATGCAGCACGGGAACGTAAACCAGCTATGTTTTGGTGGAGAAAAACTGTCATTTTACTGAATTGCAGGAAAAGACATCCTGGAGCTCATAAAATGCATATTTATAAAACAGCGATTTATTGCTCAGTCTTGCGGACATCAGTAACGTTCTTTCCCTCCGGAAGCTAAGAAAAATAGGATCCTTGTAACAAGAAGATGTGTTGATTCTGGACATAGCATGGACACCAACGAAACCTTCAGAGTGATTTATAAGGTTCCACCAAAGTACTCCAAGTCCGTGGGTCAGCGTATGCTAGAAACGTCAGGAGCGACCGCTACCAAGTTCAGAAAGCCGGTGTTGTGTAAAAAAAAGAAACTCCTGCTAGCTCCA